GCTGGATGGGAGAGATTGCTGCTTGGAACCAAGGCTAGATTTAACAGGCTACTGAAAAAGGATGGCTGAGGCCTTGGAAAGCAGCACAAAGCAACCAAAGATTAAAAGCAATTGGCTCAGTTAATCCCAAAGATGGGAGGAGAAAGACCACTAACCCAAATCATCATGGTCAAATTAATAAAAGCAAGCTTTTTTTTTTTTTGATTCTTGTATATGGGCTGCCTCCCCCTAAGGAGGTATTTGACAGGTCCTCATTGGATGTGAGGAAGACAAGGCTTTCATAGCTTAGGGGTAGGAGTCCAGATGGGAGATTTGATGGGAAAATAGACAGCGGTACAGGAGCAGAAGATAAGCAGAACAAAGTAGCCCCTCCTGAAACAAAGACATAGTCGCAAGGTAGGCAATAGCAAAGTAGTCATAAGAACAGGTAGTTATAAAAAGGTCGTTATAGGTGGTCATATAACCTTCTGAAACCAAGGTAGGGTTGCAAGGTAGTGATAAACACCTTTTGAAACAAAGACATAATTACCATTCCTGGAACATGCAACACAGAACCATTTGCGGTTAAGGTTACAAGTGGGACATAGCCTAATCCTTGAGAAGCAGAGGTCTAATCCTAAGTGGAGTGAACTTACTTTGTCTTTCCTGGTGGCTTTCAAGCCTGGGATGGAGACAGGCTGGCTCTTCGGCTTTGGGCTCAGGCCTGGGTTCATATTTAAGTTCAACTGCACGTCAGAAGTGACCTTCTATTTCCCATTCTCTCCTATTTGAAACTGGAATGATACCCACTTCACAGGACTATTATAAGGGGTCTGGGATGGATGCCAGGGGCTGGGGTTATGCTCCCAACTTACAGAGATAGCATGTAGAAGGCCATTGTGGTTCCCAGTTCATAGGTGATCAATGACTAAGAACTATCATCAGCAATGAACTGCAAAAAGGATCCCTGATAGTCTTGCCTAGTAACTGTCATCATCACCTCTGTTAAAGTGGCTCGTGGTCCATCAAGGGTTAGCAGCTGCATGGTGCATCCTAAACCATACAACGTTTCTAGACAGGCAAACCATTTCTTTCGCCGAATGATCTGAAACCCGAGGGCCAATTTATTAAATATTTGGCAGTTGATTTGATTTCGGAGGAGAAATCTTGAATAGAATTTAAAACTGTTTTCTTAGACTCTCCCTGGGCAAGGGCACAGACAAGGGAATGGAATGCCAAGGAGAGACTCAATTATGTTGATAACATCAGACAAATCGTTTTTTTTAATACTGCAAGAAATGAGATAATGGAAATTGAAACACACATGCCACAAAAAAAAAAACACAAAGCGCGTGTAACAATGGCACCTAGATAGTATATTTGGCAGTAATGACCATTTTAATATTTCTTTGGTATTAGCAATGTCTCATATCCATAGCGCACACGCGTGCACACACACACACCTAGGCCCTTGTGAAGTATCAGGTAAAGTGATGTTTTGGCCTTTGACTCTGTGAACGTGTTAGACAAGACTCTCTCAGCCATGTGACTCAGGCTGGCCTTGAGATTTGAAGCCTCTTTGGGCACAGGGTCGACAGGGAGGGGTGGAAAGAGTTAAAGTCTGCAGGAAGGAAGGACGGACGGCATTTTTACACTCACACAGTTTCTTAGGCTGCAGAAAACATTGAAGAGTCCACCCATGCACCTGGAGAGGAGGCACAGGCTGCTGTTCCAGAGATTCGGTCTCCATGGCAGCTCAGAACTGTCTGGAACTCCCGTCTCAGGAGATCTGACATCCTCTTCTAAGCACTAGGCATGGTTGGGATGCCCAGACACACATGCAGGCAAAAATCCATATTCACAAAAAATAAATATTTTTAAAGGATCAACACACCATTTCTCCTCCTGAATTGTAAAGCTTTGCATCACAGAACTCTAGCCTAGTGCTCGACAGAGTGTGTCAGTCACCCAGTCACAGCGGTATCTGGGGATCTCCTCCAAATCTGAATAAAATCGTGGCAAGAAAAGTTCACAACAGAATAGTCTCAAGCTTCAGCAGCAGAGGGCGCCACCTTCTCTGCAGCCACCTTTATCTGGATTCATTATATTGACCAAAACCAATCCAGTCCAGAGATAGGACTAGGCTCCCTCTGTCAGGACCTCCTTGGAACTGGGCTCCTGGATGTGAAGAAGGCAAAAAAAGAAGTGGGCTGTGCCAAGAGGCCTGGCTGTGTTGAACTCCGGGAAGCCTCAGAACTGGCTTCCAGGCGTTGGCACAGGCTCAAAGACAAACTCTTGGCCATCCCTATCAGACCTAAGGTTCTTGACAGCTTGAAGTAGAGGGGAGGGAGGGTTTCTTCTGGACCTCGTAGTCACAGTGTGGCGACAGACCTGCTCCTCCACGGTCGGCCTCACTCGTAGGCAGGAGGTTAAGTGTGGATAACTCTTAGTAAAGACGGTCCCTGTGGTCTTGAACAGAGCCAAGATTAATAACATGTATGTGGGACTGGTAACACACTCATGGGTGAAACGTTACTGTGTGAACATACATCCCGATTTGGGACCCTGTGCACCCATGTAAAAACCCAGGTGTGACAGTGTGCTTGTATCCTCCCGTGCTGGGGGCTGGGGGTGCTGAAGAGAGGAGGAGCCTGGGGCTTGCTGACAAGTCAGTCTAACCAAATCCACCAGTCCAAGATTCAGGGAAACAGAAGGTGGAGAGGAGCAGAGGTAGACTTCTGAGCTTGGTTACACTGTTACACACAGCCATGGGCACACACACCCAAACAGGTGCACACACACACCCTCCAACTTTGTACACACACATAGACAAAGAAAGCCTTATGCCCACGTCTGGGGTGCCCTTCTGATGGAGGCCGGAGACATCCTCACCCACTTTCTTCTTCTGCCCTAGTAGCTAGGATGCACAACCACATTTTTCTTTCTCTTCTCTCAAGGACCGACACCCATCACTCAGAGTGTGGCCTAGCGATCTCTTAGAATCATAGCAACACAGGCTGACTGAACCTTAAAGCTGAGAAAGGCAAGGGCCAGCAAATATTACAGGAATTGAGCCTCAAGGTAGAGCCTTGCATTGGATCCTAATTATTCAGCAGAAATGTATGGGAATACATGCACCATCTAGACACAATCAATTCTGTATATTAAAATAATTGCTTATCAAACAAATCAATTTAATGATGTTCACACTCTGATGCCATTGGTCACACTAAATGACAAAATTTACATGTTTGAGCTACAGTATTTTTCAGGTAAAAGTTACCTTAGCTGATTTACACGGAACAGAAACTAAAGGCACCCGACTTTCTTCAGGCTGACCTAGGTCTGACGGCTTCCCAACCCCTCTGTTCTCAGGGTCGATTCTTAACTGAACCTTCAGAGAACCTGCTGGTGCAAGCCTATAGGCTTCAGGGTTTCCGTGTGTGTGTGTGTGTGTGTGTAGGGATGCATGTGGCTGCATGGGGTGCGGGAGTGTGTACATGCAGGTGCATGGGATGTGGGAGTGTGTGCATGCAGGTGCGTGGGATGTGGGTGTGTGTGCATGCAATTGTGTGGGGCTGCAGGAGTATGCATGCAGATATGGGAGAGTGTTGCATTCAGGTGTGGGTTGTGCATGCAGGTAGGAGATGCAAGAGTGTATGCATACTGGTGTGTGAGAAGTGTGTGCATGCAGCTGTGGGGGGGATATGTGCATGCAGATGGGGAGTGTATGGGAGTGTGTGCATGCAGATGGCGGTTGCGTGGGTGTGGGAGTGTGTGCATGCAGGTGTGTGTGTGGGGGAATATGTGCATGCAGATGGGGAGTGTGTGGGAGTGTGTGCATGCAGGTGTATGTGGAGGTGTGGGAGTGTGTGCATGCAGGTGTGTGTGGGAGTGTGTGTGCACGCAGGTGTGGAGGTGTGTGGGAATGTGCATGCAGATGGGGGTGTGTGCATGCAGGTGTGTGTGGGGGGAATATGTGCATGCAGTTGGGGGTGTGCAGGAGTGTGCCGGAGTGTGTGCATGCAGGTATGTAGGGAGTGTGCGTGCAGGTGAGGGGGTGCAAGCGTGTGTGCATGCAGTTGTGGGGGGTGCAGGAGTGTGCTCATGCAGAGGCCAGAGGAAGCCCTCGGGTGGTGTCTTCAACTACTCTTGAACTTATTCCCTTGAGACAGAGTCCCTTGTGGAACCTGAAGACTACCCTTTGGATTGGCTGGCTTGTGGACTCCCAGGAATCCACCTAGTTCTGTGTCCCCCACATTCCTAAGGCAGGTCTCAGCCTCAGCATGTTCCTCTGTAATGCGAAGGAGCCAAAAGAGTTGTCAGTGAGGTTCCCTCGAGGCATGAATTTTGCATTGACAATCCATTGTGGAACAGGCTAAAATAATGGTTCTTTTGTCATTCTCTTGGGGCTGTTGCTCTCGCTGGGAATCTCGGAGACAGATGCAGGCATCACATGAAGCGAGCGACAGCAAGGTCTAACTGAATAATGGCCATGTTTGGAGGTCCCTGCATCGTTAGAGAGTAAGAAAATGGTCTTTCAGGATATTTTGTTTTGAGAAACAAGCGTGTCGATCGTTGTGGATGGGAGGATAGAAAAGTGCAAGACCGGATGCATTTTCATATCTGTAAATACTCCGGAGCACTTTTGCTTCGCTCTCTCACGGTGCCAAGTCCTTGGTCGGGCGGAGTCTGCAGGGTAGAGCTGCGAGGGGTGAGTCTTGGGGTCAAAACAGTTTTCCTGCTAAGCCGGCACCAGGGCGGCGGAGCCTTCTCGGGGAGGGCCAGGGCCGGGGCCAGGCTGCAGGAGGTCACCTGCGGAGCCGGCGCCAAGCTGCAGCACCCGGCGTGCCGCGCCTGCTCCCACGCGGACGGAGATCAGGTGATGTCGCAGCCCAGGTGGCTCCGGGGAGGTGGGGCGGGAGAGTGAAGCGGCCTGCTCACTTAGCTTTCGTACTCGGCGATGATGATCTAGATCCCGCTGGGGAGGTGGCGCCGCGTGGATATATCGCGTGCCGGGGACCGGCGTGCGAGCGGTGGCCCAGCCCTTTGGATCTTTCTGGCGCTGGGTGGAGTAGCCCCTGGCGGTACCAACGCGGAGGGCGTGCTCAGTAGCCGCCGCTTCCCTTGGCTCCACCTGCTGGATACCACCCGGTGAGGGCCGCGAACTCGCAAGTAGAGCGGGGAGGGCGGGCTTCAGGAGGAGGAGCCGGGGGGCACGGCCGCAGGACGCCCGCCCTCCGGGAGTGGCCACTAACTTGACCCAGCTGGCGTTCACGAGACGGCGGAGTCGCTGTCCCTGCAGCCCCGCCACGCTGCGCCCTTTCAGGCTGCCGCTCCCACCCTGACGCCACGCAGCGCCCTTTCAGGCTGCAGCTCCTACCCTGACGCCAGCGCCTTGCCCGGAGCAGCTCCTGACCCGGGAGCCCCGGCTGCGGCCAGGGGCATGAGGCTCGCCGAGCACCCACGCCGAGGCCGTGCAGACCCGCGATGGCTGCACAGCTACGCCGCCCCTGTGTAGGGTAAGTGAACATCTGGGAGGTGGGTGTCCTGCTCGGTTGCTGTGACCTTTTCCCATTCCAAGCCAGGAAAGCTGGAGTTGAGGGAGTTAATTGTATGGAACATTTCACAGCTGTCCCGGATACATCCTCACAACCCAGGTCCTTAATTGAGCCGCTAGCTCCGCCCTCCCGATCTTGTTCTCAGCCCTCAAATTCAAGTATTTCTTTGTGGGGTGCCGATTCCCTTCCCACCTGAAAAGTGAATGAAGGGTTTCAGGTCAAGGCCGCTACAGGCGCACGCCAACCTGTCAGGCTTGTGCTGAGTGGCACATGACGAGCGAAGTATTGATGCCTTGTACTCTTGGAAGCCGTGGGAGGCTGAATCTTGAGGGGAAATCATGCAAATGAGAAAGAAGTGGAAGAGTAGACCCTTAGGTTCCTCAGCCGCCAGAGAAGGCTCTGAGAAGCAGGGAGTTTCTGTCTCCCGTCTGACCCCTCCCCGTCCTTTATTGGCGGTAATACCACACTGTAAACTAGTGACTAGCCACAGAAACTGCTACATCTAAATATCAGATGGAGATTTTGAGGTACAATTTCAGGGAATTGAAGCGTCTATTTCTACTGTGGCAACATCAGCAGGCAAATAATCTGGTTTTCCTTCGAATGAAGGTTGTTTATGGTTCCTGAGATAGCTCTCTTGCCCGTATAGATGGGGACTAACGTTATTTAAGCAGAATGGTTCTGGACAAAGTCTAACTTCAGATTTGACCCTTTTCTTCTTTCTAATAACTTTCTTGTACTTTCGTCTAGTGGTCTGCCTGCCCTGTTAATTTCAATAGACTGTCCAAACCTCACTTCTGGTAGAAGCTAGGTTTTGATTGGCCACTTCTATGTCAGAAAACTCCCTGTGTGTTTGGAGGTAACTTCCCGTTTGTGTCAGCAAGGCCATGCTGACAAGGGCTTCTGGGGACCTGTGTCTCCTCAGTCCTGCCCTAGCCAAGAACCTCCCGGCTTCTGGAATTACATGCAAGAATTCTTCTTTTTGCAAAGGAAATCTAAAACTTCCATCTGCAGTCCGTCCCACTCACCCCCCTCCCCCCCAAAAAAAGAAAATACAGAAAGAAAGGAGAAAAGAGAAAGGAAAGGCTTGAAGCGACAGTTGTGTCTGTTTGGCTGGCAGCTGTGAGGAGGGAAACGTTAACTCACACGGTACATATAGGTGCTCAGAAGCCACAGCAGGCTTGTCTTTAATGAATAAACCAAAATTGATTAAACAGCGGTTTTATTGTGAACAGTCAGAACACGACTTTCTACCAAAAGTCAACTTTATTAATCTTTAAATTGTGCAGCTTCGTGCTTCCTAAGTGGACCGCTTTCTCTCTTTTGGTTTCTCTCTCTTTAAACCTTTAATCTCCACTTTAACAGAAACATTTCAACTTTGATTCTGACAGCCATTGTGTTAATTCTCCACATTTGAGAACGCCCAGCACGGGTCCTTTCGTGCTGAAGGTTGCACAGTTAGGAGCCCAAGGCCTGGTGGAAAGGCTGCGCAGTGAGGAGCCTGGGCCACGCTAGAAATGGCTCTGGAGGTTTGAACTTTGAAGCCTGGTATGCACTCTTCCACAGATCGTAAAATGAGGCTAATGCCATCCACTTTCAGGCCCATTGCTGAACTCCAAAGAACTGAGGAAGGCAGAAGAGAGATTGCCAATCTAGTTGGGTCCCTACAGATATTAGTGAGTCAGGGAGTTCGGCGCTTAAACTGTTCTAGTCTGTCCGTGTTTTCGCTAAGGATTTCAGGAAAGGAAAGTTTAATCAAGTGCCTTGTGGGGAAAGAGCCTCCGGGTTTGACTCCGAGGGAACCAGTCAGCTTCCGACTGGTAGAAATACAGACCTCTGCCCCACCCCAGCCTTGCCTGCTCATGCCTTTAATTTTACTGGAGATTTATGTCAAATTAATCTATAGGGCTTGGGAATTCTAATTCATTTTCTCCTGTATTTAGTATTAGATGCTAACATTGGGACCAAGTCGTGCGAGTGGTTTCTTGAGACCTTCCCACAGGTTTTCGGGAGATTCCCAGACGTTCATGTGTTCACGACTCGGGGTTCTCTCGGTTGTTAGCGTCTGAGTGATCAGAACGGGAAGGCATGGGCCATTCACCGCTTCCGCTTGTCCTGTAGTTCTCCCCATCCTTGCCAGCTTGATGCTCAGAAGGCAGAGGACAGCCGCTTTCCTTCTCTAATTAATTAAAGCACCATCTGCCTTGGGATTCTAGGGTTCTGCTAACTAGGGCCCATGTTCCATAGCAAATGCACAATGCAGAATATGCACCAGATTGGAGGCATCGGCATGTTGATAAGTTCCGAGTTTTGGCAATAGTAAATAACTCCAGATAGCTTGTGGTATGCAAAACACTATATTTTAAGAATTCATTTCTTAAAATGAAGAGTAGAGAAATCACACATTTTTCACAAGGGGCGGAAGGTAAACAGAGCCAAGAATCTAGATGGCAGAGACACAGGGATGCCAGGGAGTCCTGTGGAGTAGAGGTGTGTCTTCTGTGTATCATCAGAACGTTGTAAACATTAACCCGAGTCCGCTTCTCCAACTCTGCAGAAGCTTTTGTATATGAACAGTCTGAACAAAGCGAATAGCATGAAATCCACTGCTTATGCCCAGCATGCAAAACACTGAAGACACACAGGTTTCTGGAGAGCGGACATACTTTAGAAACATCCTTCCTCATGTGCTTTAAAGAAACATTCTGTGTCAAAGAAAAGAAAGGGAAAGGGGAAAAAAATGTTCTCCATGAGGAATGTTCTCACCAGGAGAGAGCACTTACAAGCTCAATAGTCTAGACATGAGAATTTTAGAGGCTCGGGAATTCTGGAGTTTGTAGAGAGGAGATAGGGCTTCCCCATCCTTGAAGACAGTCTTTGGTGTAAGTAGGGAAGTGGGGAGAGGGTGCAGGGTGCAGATAAGGAGTGTGTGTGTGTGTGGGGGGGTGTGTTTCAAGTTAAGGAAGGGCCAGAAGCCAGAGATGGACATGGATGCTGAAAACAGCCCAGCACTGAGGAGGAGGAGGTGCCGTTGTGTGAGTGCGAAGTCCGGAGCTTTTAAATGTGTTTCTGTGAGCCCGCCCTCCCCCGGACCACTGTCCCATCCGCCACAGGCAGCAGATGTGATAACTCGTTAGCTAAGACGTACAGAGTACGGCATCATGAAAGAATCCGTAAGCTCGAAATAGCCAACTTTTCCGAGTTCTTGTCTCTGTCCTAGCGTTCAGGTGCATTTGAACTCCGAGTTCTCTTGCATCTCCGCGCAAGAGCGGTGCTGCTTCTCAAGGCTCCGAATTAGAGACACTGCTGCCTGGAGGTTAATTTAGTGCTCAGCACTTAATTCCCTCCTGCTGTTTGCACTCCCTACTCGTTCTGATGGAGCTGAATTGGTTTCACTGTGTAACATAATGCCTGAATTGAATGTAGAGGGAAGGAAAGAAACTCTTTCGCTGTCCTATGTCAGGGGCGAGTGCTTGAGAGTCCAGCTGCTAAAAGGCTTAATCACGTGAACATGCAACACGCGACACCACGTGCCTTGAGAATTGGGTCTGAGGTTCTAGATCATTCATTCTTCACTAATTGGCGAGAAGCTACGTCTCACTTTGCTCCGGGACTGGAGGAACTAAGACTCAGTTCAGTATCTGCCCTCATCAGGGAGCGGCCAGGGAAAGCCTGCGAGGGCCACGGGAGACAATCGACTTGGACGACACGACACGCGAGAGAGGCTTTCACAGCCAAAGAAAGGCGCACGTCACAGTTCTAACTTCCGGCTCCCGGATGATGGCTGCCAACCTTGAATTTATACGTCTTTTCATAACGACAGTCTTACGACATAACTCACTTAAAATAATCTGATATTCCTAGGTTAAGGAGACACTCCAGAGAAAAAGGGAAGGAGAGCGACTCAGAGCAGCTCTGGTTCCAGGCGGTTGAAGATCCCCACTTGGTTGTTTTGTGTGTGTTTTTTTTTTACCATGTCCGTGGTGGAGCCTTGTTTTTTAGCACGTAAAACTAAACCACCTGGTTACCGAGGACCTGGCTTGCAGAATCTCACACATCATCCTTGCACTTAGCCATGCTATTTCTCGACCTAGCACTGAGAACCCGGCCCCAGGCATGAACGCATAGGAGCTGTCTCAGTGGACAGCCACACGCTGTATGCGTCCCTAGAGCCAGATGTTCTGTTGGTGACCTTCAGATACGTCCGGATTGTATTTATGCAAGTTCTAGCTTTTGCTTTTTTGACGCAGAGGAACATTAAGTGGAGTCTGTTTGTTTGACCATGTCGTTGAATCCTCCTGTAAATTTATTATATTCCAAGTGAGTGATTCTCAATATTCCCAGAACAAAGATCCCCCATTTAAGATTCAGTTTTCGTGGATCCTTACAAAAAAAAAAAATCACGGAATTGTTGGATGAATTATCAGAGGACAAATAATGACAAATATGCTGTCACAAACTCAGTGACATACTTTAAAAAAATAACTTAGGTATTTTGCATGCCTCTGCGGGGAGTGTAGTGTGTTTGGGCACACGCGTGTGTAAATGTGCCAGAGAAGGACACTGGTTCTCTTCTCCAGTCGCTTGCCATCTTGGTTTTTGAGACATGTTCTCACTGAGTCTGGAGCTCATGGGTTCAACTAGACTGGCCAGCAAGTCCTAGGACTCACCTTGTCTCTGCAACCCCAGTGCCAGGATGCTGTCTTCATGTCTCCTCTCTTGTCTGTTAAGTACATGGTCCTGTGGATTGAACTGGGATTCTTGTGGTTGCATGGCAAGCGCTTTACTGAGCCATCTCCATCGTTCCTTCAAGGAGGTTTTCTTTTTTTTTTTTTAATGAATTCGCATTTTGATTAAGTATATTTACATGGAAACTGATACCGCATAAATATACATACATGTTTAAGATGTGTGTGTATGTGCGTGCATGCATGCGTGTGTGTAGGCTTGCATTAATTCAA